GTGGAAGAGAGTTTAGCACGCGGAGTAGAACAGGAAATCCAACGCCAAAGTGGAATGAGCAGATTGAGATACATTTTGATAGTTATCCTATTGGTCAGAACTTGAAGTTGATGATTGTTTGTGAAAATTGCAATAACGATCCAGGAACTTCTACGGGTCAAGTAGTGAAAGGGAGGGCCACAATTCCAATCCCAATGAATTTGGACAAAGTAAAAGTTCGAAAAGTTGATTTAGTAAAACTTGTTGGCGTTGAAAAGAAGGTGAATGCAACAATTAGCTTTAAAACTTTGCTCACTACACGACTCATTACTTCGGTATGAATTCAGATTATTTTTTTTCCATCTTGATTAGTGTTAACTAGCCGTTATTAGTGATTTTTTAAAGTAGAAGTTAGGGTTTAGGATCAAGTTTTACAAGTTTTTTTTCATACTCTGTCCTTGTCTTAATTATTAATTGGATTGTTCTAACTATGATTTTTTAATTATTTTTTTGTGATATTTTTGCACGTTTCATTAATTGGATTTCATGTCGACCATAACTTAATTGTAAGGAAAATTAAATTTACATAATTTAAATCTACTTCTAGCAAATTTAATTTACCTCTGACAAATTGGATGACTAGAATTACATTTGTAATGGGTATTAAATCAAATTTGTCGGTCCTGTTATTGAGGAAAACACAAGAAATTCATTCACTGATCAATTGCCAATTATCTCAAAAGAACAAGTTTTCTACTCAGGTACATGCATTTTTTCTACCATATACACTAAAATAAGAGATGCGAGTAAGAATTTATAATATATCTCATATTCATGCGATCACATTAAATACACATTAACTATAGGTGTCTACATGTATTTTGGTGTGTTTCACATGTATATGAGATCTCAAATGCATAGGAGAGTGGCAAGCAGAGACATGAGAGAGGCGAGTAAAATTTATTATGTACCTCATATACATGCAAATTCACGAATACATGTGTCTGACGCACTAAAATTTGGTAAGATACTCTAATATTATAAGTTAGAGTGTATCGTAATTAACGGTTAAACTAGTGAGATCTACATAAGTTTCTCTTTACCAAGATCTACGTAAGTTTCTTATTTCAGCGTAAGGGCATATCTGGACTTGGGCTTATAAACAAGCTTAGATTGGGCCAAAAAGTGAAACTTTGCACATTACCCGACTAATAACTCAAGAGTCTTACTATCTGTAAAAATATTATTATTTTGTTATTTAAGAGGATTCATTGTCAATACTTTCATTATTTAGTAAAAATGTCACAATTTTTATTATGTATCTTTTTAATTTATTTCTAATTGTTTAAATTGAAGGAATACAAATATTTAAAATAGAATGGAGAAATTTAAGGGGAGAGAAAAAAACTAAAAATGGAAATATTGCTTAAAATTCTCATCAGTTACAAAAAATTAATAAAATCAAAACATCAGTGGACACTCAAAATCTGATGAATTCTATCAACTTTTGTTATTTAAGATTTCCATACAAATTCGACGAGATAATTGCTTTTTCCTTATTCTTTTTCTAATTGTTTATATTAAATATAATTGTTCATCGTACTGTTTTCGTATATTTGAAATTGATATAGTACAAAAAAAATTTAAAATGTAATTGAAAATAATTGTAAAGCGTAGTATTCAGGTTTCTATAATTGTAAATAAGTAGTATGTTTTCGTCCGTATTTTGTTTTGATTGTAAATTGTATGAACTACGGATAACGTATGACTATTTGAATAAGTTGTATTCCTTAACGAAACAAATATGAACCATGTAATGTATGTCGTACATGTTTGTTTTGAAATAGATACAGTTTCAGTATTTGCTTTGTATAGGTATATGTTAAGGGATTTTTATGAAATATGAAGAATTACTATTGTGAATATATAATATTCATTACTATGATAAAATTTTGGTTCATAACATGATGATTGTTATGTATTCAGTAAGTGATATTACTTGAATAAAATTTTGTTCATAACATGATGCAAGTACAGTTGTGAATATATATATTAGTTACTTAATCCTAACTTTGTTAACAACTCTACTTCTGACTTTATTAATGACTTGAAAAGTTTTTTTTTAGTGTGAATACAATAAGAATACACTGAATAAACACATCTGAATCCAAAACACAATAAGAATACACTGAATACAACTAATATGTATTTACTTTGGAAACATACAAATAACACTACAATGTGTATATTTACTTTACGGATACAAACAAGGCTCACACAAAGTACAATTAGTATAAACACATCTGAATCCAAAATCACCCAAAATGAATTCATTAACAATAATCATATAACACTAATACAACAAATACATAAAAATTCCATAGCATTTAACACAAATCCAACAAAAGTTCATTAATAAAATCTGAAATATCATAGTCATGGAAAATGTATTCATAAATTATTTAATATCTACGGATGTGAAAAAAATATAAAGGAATGAATAGAAAATGATACATTATCAAAATTAACAAAAATTGACCCCAAAATACAACAATAAAATAACAACTGAATACAAAAAACAAACTAATAAATATTGCACAGTGTACATAACAAGAAATTTACAGATATATTCAACTACACATTGTTGTACAAATTGTTCTTTAACTTCAACTCAACATGCAAAAATCTAAACATGAAAAAGTATTTTAATACCTCTTCTTCAACAATTTGGTCTTCTCCGTCATTTTCTTGTATCCCTACGAGTTACATTTTCAATCTGAATTTGATAAAGACTTTGTTCTTGTCGTCTCTCTTCCCTCATTTTAGAAGCAGATCCTACAATATCCGCTATTTCTTGAGTAATACATAGACTAAATGATGAAAATCATTTTACTAAGATGAACAGTGTCTCTTAGAATCATCTATTGAAGAGTGTTTTATAGTACTAAACGAGAATTATCCTACTTTCACCAAATAAAAATGATTTAAACAACAATAAAATAAATAAATCTAAAAAAAAAGAAGATAACGATGAAAATACATTAATTAGAGGAATTTGTGTGAATGCAGATTCTGAAGATAAAAAAAATAACATTTCGGTAGAAGATAATAAGAAAATCTGGGTTGAAGAGAAAAATGATTGAAGGTTGAATAGGAATATGAACAAGAAAATATTGAGAGAGATAATTTTATTTATTTTTACTTATAGGATAAATATGAAAGAGAGAGATATGGGGAAAATTTACAGATTTTAATTTTTTTTAAAATAAAAATAATTTGGGAAAAGTGAACTATGAATGTACATGGAAATGTAAATAAATTAATTTTTTAGGAGATAAAATAGGAGTTTAATATGGATACATATTCTTTTTCAAAATAATGACAGTTTTGACATTTTAACTAATATTTTTAAAGTAGTGAGTTTTTTTACTAATTAAGTTGTTGATTATGACTAGTTTACTAATTTTTCTTTTCATAAATATGAACGATTAAACGGGAATCTATCTACCATAAATTTTTGTCGAAATTCATGTTCGTGAAAATGAGAAAAGGAATCTGCTCATTTCGAAAAACCGAAACATACACTACAACAAAAATAAAATGACTATTAGCGGCAATTAATAATTAATTGCCGCTAAAAATATATTTTTAGCGGCAATTGACACTCTGTATATGTTTTTAAAGTCTTTAGTGACATTGATTCTAATGACACTTAACTAATGACGATAAAGACTACTCTTTATTAATATCAATATTTAATGTCACTAAAAATTGATTTTGTTGTAGTGATAGTGCTTAATTAGTGGCGAAACAAACAACATTCTATCATAAAAAGAACACATTATTCTACAATGCTATTGAACAAAACAATAATATTGATATATTACCTCCAAATGTAATGTATCAATATTATTTGTATAATTATGTATCACATATGTATACATCTACATGATATGTTTATATTAATATTTATACATTGCAAACTGTTTTTTTTTCTTTTCAATTTTGACAAACTCAGTTCTCCTCTAAACAATGTCAAAGTTTTAGATATGAGCTCCTCTCAATATTTCAGATTTTTTCATTTATTATTAGCTCGAAGCAATTCACTTTTGTTGTATATTGAATTTTAAAATCGAGCTTTAAAGAAACTTTGATGGATGAACGTGAAGTCTTTTAATCTTGACCAACTTAAATCTTCTCTAGACAATTTCATAGTTTATTTATGAGCTCCTATCAATATTTTAAATCTTTTGAGATTTTATTCACTTGAAATAATTCACATTTCTAACTCATTAAAGTTTAAACCCGAATATATCTTTTTCCTCAGATTGTTAGTGTCCACAGTAGCAGTACTTTTTACTTCATACAAAATTTACAAACAATTTTCAACTCCGAGAGGAAATCAACTAGAATCATAAAATTTAAGGCAGAAAAGAATTAAGAAAGAAGAAAAAGGAAATTTTGGCTAAATGACGATTTTTAAGTAATAAGTGATATTGCAAACATAATAACGTCCTATAACTATATTTTTGATAATTACATTCCGAAGCTATATTTCTGTTTGCTATGGAGGGTGGTTTGTTTGCATATGTCTGTTTGTATATTTTGTTTGCGAATATACTAGCATATACAAATTCTATATTTATATATTTATGAACTTCATTTGTATATTTCACTTTACAATATACAAATAGACTTATTTATTATGAATTTTTCATAAGTCGAATACAAATTAACTAAAATAATTTTACAATCAGCTAAAGAATTATATAAATTCTGCATACAAATAAAGCAAATTATACAAATCAGGCAAATTATACAATTCAAGCAAATGTGGAGAATTGGAAAAACTATAGCTTGTGAATTACAATTTTCTTAAAATATAAGTATAATATCTTATAAAGAATAAATGTTTGCTATTCTACATAATAATTTTTTTCTTATAAATATCATTAAGAATTACGTGACGAAAATGCACACACCATATTACTAAGTAAGAACCTATATTACCAAACACAGACAATCATTAATATATTATTTCAAATTAAAATAGCCTAGTATCCCACAAAAACGATCAATATAAAATCATAACATACCTACTTAAAACCCAAAAAATGAAAACATCTTTAAAGGGTAAATATTAAGAAAACAATCAAACGATAGCGACTACTATTATTAGAAGCATGGACAAGGACAACCATAGATTGATCGAAAACAACATCTTTGAGGATCCACTTGGAGCTGGTGCAGGTGCTTGTGTTGATGACGGAGTAATTGTCTCCGTAGGAGGAGGAGAGGAAGACGATGAAGGTGCTCGTGGTGGTGTTGGTGACGGAGAAGGTGATAATTGTGTGGGCTTTGGAACTCGAATGTCAACTCTCTGGCCATTTTGACAATGGCCAGGGAAGCTACTAATGAAGTAGAAATGGCCTTGCCTTTTTATAACAAATGTGTCATTTCCAGTGTTGTATGTGGCATAAGTTGTTGTGGCATTGCATGCGTTGAAGTTTTTGTGTGTAACTCGTACCACGTTGTCCATCTGCTGCTTGTACTCAAACACTGTACAAAATAATAATTAAGTGTATAAATCAAGACATCAAAAATATGGTAAATAGTAATATTAGTGGCATAGCCATATATGTATATAGTCGGTCAACTCTTTCTTACCTCAATATCGTAATTATTAATATCAGTGGCGTAGCCATATACAAGTCAGCCAAGCATTTCTTACCTCAATATCGTAGTTACTAATATCAGTGACGTAGCTATATACGGTCAGCCAAGCATTTCTTACTCAATAGGATCTTGATATCATTTAGGCAGAAATATATTCGTTAAGAGGCCGTTTGGTTGGGAACAATTTATTCCAAGATAAGTTATTTCAGGGTTAGTTATCCTGGAATAACTTGTTCTAGCATGTATTTATCCCAAACATGACAACTAAACAAGATAAAAAAAAAGTTATTCTATTACTATTTCCTTATACCATCAGTATTATTTTTAATCGATCACACTATACTACTACCTATAAGTGTTCCGATTTTATGCATTTACGATGTAATGAATAAGTATACATCATAGGTAAATTCAGTTTCTTTATTATAAGAGCTATTAATTTCTATTCTTTTAAATAAAACCACATTATTATACATATAAGTTAAATCACTCCTTTAGAAACAATATTATTTTAAGGTTTATAGGGGAAATCCAGAAATGTTCATAGAGGAATATTTTCGTAAGGAAAAAGCTTATGTTATAACGAAAATAGGTCAAAGTTTAGCAGTAGAGTAATAAAGAAGATACTATTTTCTTCCTTGATAAATTATATATAATTTAACAATAAATTTTCATATAAAATATCACAAGACATCGTTTTAAAAAATAAATAACTATAATACATTATCAAAAGTTAAAACATATCTTAATAATAATAATAATAATAGTTTAGTAAAATTGCTTAGGATAGACTTTGAATAGGATTGTTCCACCATTTACTAGGAAATTTAAAGTTCAAGAGACTCTTACACAACAAAAATCTAAATTAATTAACATTAAACAAATATCATACATTGTATGTCGAAAAAAAACACAAAACTTACTTTTACTATTTGATCTGAAAAGGATCAAACACATAAACACTTCATAAAGACAATTCATTGAATTTTATATTTGGCCTATTTTGCTTTTTCATTCAAGGTTCATATAAGCAGGAAAGGGAAAAAATAGATCTACCTACGTTTTAATTATTTTTCTATTTTTCTCAATCTTTTTGGGTGAAAAAAACAAACACATCAACCATTTCTATTAACTGTATATATCCTAAACAAAAAATATATATAAACATTTTTAAGGTACACATAAATATATAGATCCTAAATCAAATTATTTTTTTTATTTCAAACACTTTTATGCGCCCTACAATTCCTTCTAGTCTAGTACTCCCTCTAATCCAAACATTTAAAAGATATCATATCTGAATTCACGATCAAAATCAAATAATTTAACTTTTTAAATCTAAATAATGTCACATGAATTAAAACAGACAGAGTATACAGATATAACCTACTTACCAATGGAATCTCCAACACTAAAAATTTTATTGGAAGACCAAGATTTGTAGTCAATGTGACCATTGTTTGTCCATCCAGTAGAGTCACCAACCTTGTACACTTCACCCATTGATACACCACAAGATACAAAAATCATCAAGGACAAAAACATGGTTAATTTTGAAAGAACCATAGCTAATTAGTGGGGGAAAAAATATTGGGAGGCACAAATATATAATAAAAATATTTTTTGGATGGTAAGTGAATGAGGGTGTCTAGAAGCTGTATATAACATTCAGTTTTATTATTTAGTTTTGGAAAAAAACATATTTTATTAGAATTTTCCATTTTTTGCAGGTGGGATTTATGGTAGCTCAATTAATTTTTATTTAATCCATGATTTACTTTCCTTATTTTCCCCTTCTAAAGTTAATATCACATATGATATATTACTGGTACATCTGTCATGTCAACCTGCCATAAAATTTGGTACATCAGTTCTGTTTATCAAAACTACACAAATTTAAATTTTAATTTCAAATTCAAATTTTTCAAAAGTAAGATTTCAACTTCAAAATTCAAATTGTAAATTTTTTTTTTATGAGGTGTCCTATTTTTGGTGCCTCCTTTAAATAATATCCGTCATAATTAAAAAATAATAATTCACAAATACCCAGTATTAAGGAGTTTTAAGTCAAAAGTATATGTTTCTTTTTTATTGCTTCTTATACTCCTTTTAACATTTTAGAGCTTGTTTGAAATTGCTGTTAAAAGTTATTTATTTTCATAAATATATTTGAAAAATATTTTATCACAAAAATATTTTAGAAAAAATTAATTTATGTTTGACTAATTCATTTTAAAGGTATTTTTATAAATAATTGTGTTTGACTAATCTTTTTTAAAAAAATAGTATTTTTGAGAGTCAACTTACAATAAAGAGCAAGTATTAATGTACTTCGAATATTAAGATTATTTTATAAAGAAAAACTAATTTAAAAAATCTAATACAACAAATTATTTTATTTTTATTTTTTTAGATTAAAATATTCGTATTCAAATTTTCAGGCAATATTATACTTTTTTTAAGATTATTTTATAAAGAAAAACTAATTTAAAAAATCTAATACAACAAATTATTTTATTTTTATTTTTTTAGATTAAAATATTCGTATTCAAATTTTCAGGCAATATTATACTTTTTTTTTCGGAAGGTTGAAATCTCTATTTGTTATTTTTTTTTCTTTTTCCTAATCTTGCAAAAATATTATTGTTACCTTTATTTTTAATTATGCAAAACAATGAATAAAATAATATTACATGGACATAAAATAAAATATAAAATTTATTCTATAAAAATTAAAAATAAATCATTAAATGAAACTAACTAAACATATTAAATATGTGAGGATAAATATTTTTGTCTTGAAAAAAAATAACTATTTACTTCTACTTTTTTTAAAAAAAAATTAAAAAAATTAGCTTCTTTTCAACAATAGAAAAATTGTTTCTGCTTTTATTTAAAAACACTTTTACGAATTTGTCAAGTACCTAATTTTTCAAAAATAATAATATTTTTTTAAAAAAATAAGTATCTGTTGACTCTGAACAGCAATGCCAAACAGGCTCTAAACACGCAAAGTCTGAAATTCTGGTTATTAATGTGTTCCAATCATTTTATGTATCAGATGGTATAAAAGTAATTTATTAATTTGCTTTAGATTATTAGTTAACGTATGAAGAATATTAGTTAACCTATGAAAAATATTATTATTAGATTATCTATTTTAAATTGAAAGCTCCAAAAAATATTATTATTAGATTATATATCCAGTAAAATAAAAGGTAAAAAATAGAATTTACTTACTCATACCAGATTATAAATATTTTTTTCAATATACTTGTATTTTAACTTGGATAACTAGTTATTTGCCTTATTTACCAAGCTATTAATTAGTTCTTTTTTTTTAGAAGATTACTTATAATTATTTTTTAAGACAACGAGATAAAGTAAAAATTCTTCGATCAAAAGTGTGGTCAATTTATTCTTTTACCATGTCAGTATATCCTTATTTAATCGGTCTTGATAGTCCAAATACGAAAAATGGGTTCTAAAAAATATTTTTTAAGACTTTTGACCGTATTTCCTCTACACAAATCTCGAATGCTTCTCTACTTAACTTCGGGGGTCGTTTGGTATGAGCGATAAAAATAAATAGTTTTGATGTAAAAAAAATAGTCTAGGAATAAAATTTTGATGTCTTATTTCGTTGTCAAGTTTGAGATAACTTATCTCACCATTTATATCAAAGCGATGAATAACTTATCTCATATAAATAATAGGATAACTTATCCCAAATTAACTTATTCAGAGATAACTTACTCACAATCAAACGACCCCCTTAATCACCACCAAAATAAAATCACAATGCACTAGTTAAAATCCAACACATGAGCAATGAACAATGGGTAAAGCCCAAAATTCTTTTTTAATACATAAACTTCATACCCTACAACATTGGGCTAGCCCCTAATACAAATCAAAACACATAATCTGCACCAATGACAATCATGAACAAAGTAAGCCCAAGCCCAAGCCCAAGCCCATTATTAATGAAGAATGAAGGTGCATTACTCTTGGCTGGTGCTGGTGCAGTTACATGGACACTAGTAGTAGATAAGGTTGTTCCAGGAGCTGGGCTTGGGCTTCCAGTTGGAAGATCACTGGGCTGAACAACTTTAGGTACCCTGATATCAACCTTTTGACCGGTTTGACAGTGGCCCGGAAAACCGCAGATATAGTAATAGTGGCCCGGACCCATGATGGTGATGGAGTCATTGCCGGAAGAGTAACTTCTGATGGGGTTCGCGGCGTTACAATTATGGAAATCAGAGAGGCTCACTCGAAGGACATTGTTTTGTGTTTTGTCATACACAAATACTGCAAGTGAAAATTTTATTTTCTATTAAATTACATATCACAAATCTATATAGTAAACGTGTTATTTTTGTATAAGTCATATATGAAAAGAGTCAAAAATATATATGAACTATTTGAAATGAGATATAGACATAGTTTGCACATTCATATTTATTAAATCTAAATCTACCTTCAATCAAAAGAAACAATTGAATCAGTTATCACAAGAAAACATCTCAATAAAATCTAATGTAAAAAATTGATCATCCAATTAAGATTTTGCAACTCCTTATTAACCATAGTGTATATGTGAAAGATAATAACTAAGAAATATTTTCTTTTACTTTTCCATCACATGAATAAGCCAAACAATTTTGTCTTACAATATTTTTGTCGAAATTAAGGGTGTTTTACCGGTGGGATTTAGTAATTTTTTCTACAAATTATGTATTTAATGAATGTATATAAATCAGTATCAATTTGGAAATTAATAAATAAAATTCAAAATTCACAAACCTCAAATTATGATTTCATCTCTATTCAAGAATTTAACCGGATCTCAAAATTACTTGCAAATCTAAAATGATACCGGCATAAAATTGATATCTAAAATTAAAAAAAAAGTGTTATGAACAAGGCGGACTTACCAAGAATGTCATCGATCTGAAATTTTTTTGTAGCGGCCCATACACCATAATTCACATTGGCGCTGCCGAACGTCCAACCAGCATCATCACCAATTTTGTACACAGCAGCACTAGCAAGAATGAACATAAAAAAACTAAAAACAACCGTTATCGAGAGAAAAAGCTTAGCCACTTTCATAAAACCCATGAGTACTCAATAACAACAAAGAGATTTTTTTTAGTAGTTGGTCTAAAAGAAGTAGTAATTAACTAAGAGGATTCAAATGAAAGGTGGAGTTATACAAGTGTTTGTTATATATAACGTTAATTGTGTAGAATGAGTGAAGAAAACGCCAAAATTAGGTCAGTGCAGCAATTGGACTCACAAATAATGCGTGAATAATTAAGAGTTTATTATACATGTGAGGCGATATATATATATGCATTTGTCCACAGGTTAGCGATATTATATATGTTGATGCTTAAGTGTGATTTCATATACCCATTCAAAATTATATGGTAGATTTGATTACATTAATTATATTATATTTATCATTCTCTTTCTTTTACTAGTCAGGAATGACAAGGATGTGTTCGACAAGAAAAAAAAAATATTGAAAAATATTCTTTTTAAAAAATAAATAATTTTTATTTATTTTATTATGTTCGTTATGTAAGCAAAAAATTATGTATTCGCATACAATTTAGATACTTATTATGAATGTTAAAGGCAGAGGTAGGGATGATAGTGGTGGAAAATGGGGTTATAAGGTCGGGTGAGTGAAAAAAATAATGTAAAAATTATATTTTATTGTAAAAAGAATGTCCTCGTAATATATCTTGTATTGTACAATGGGTGTATACACAATATGCTTTATGTTGTACAGAGGATATACATGTAATATACATTATATTTTATAAGATAGATAGATACACAATATCATGTGTGTTATAAACTTGTTGTCTATACAAATTTGGTGCTCAAGTATGTACATGTCAAATAGATGTCAATAAAATATACATGGGTCCCATGTATATAAGGCAAAAACAAGTGAAAAAGAAAAATACTAGTACATTTGTTCTTTTCTCTTCTATCTTTGTTCTTAGTTTTACTACATTGTCTTTATTCTATAACATATTACTCTTTTTAAGGATTTTGTTTTATCAGGAAAAGAAAATTGTAAAAATTTAAACATAAAAAATAAAATAAAAAAGAATTTTCTCCCTACTGAATACTCCCGAAAAGTAAAATTTTCCTTTTATAAAACAGGAAAGAATTAATTACATATTTTTCCAACTTTACTTTTTTACTAAATAAATATTTTTAATACTAATTGGTATTCAAATTTAAATTTCTAAAGCACAATTAATTAAGGATGTGCATTCGTTTTTTCTATTCGTTTTGAATTTTTGATATTTGATTATGAATAAGTGTTATCCAATTCAAACCAAAATAAATTCGATTTGGTTTGATTTTTCTCTTTTTGGTTTGGGCTTATTCGATTTGGTTAATCGATTATGTCAATAATTAGAAACAAAACAAAATTATTTGCAATTTAAAAAATTATACATATATATATATTGAATTTCTTAAATATACTTTTTAAATATAAATTACAAGTAAAACGTAAAGTACAATACTTAAAAGTATATCAGTTATAGATGTCTAAACATAAGAAAATAAACTAAATCACAATGAAAATAATTAAAACGGGAAAAAAGTGGTTAACTCCAACTTTATATATATATATATATATATATATATATATATATATATATATATATATATATAT